ATTGAAACATTGGTTTGTGTATTTGAGGCGAAAATATACTCAAAAGGCTTGTGATCTGGTGTAGGAGGATAATCCTGATTAGATCACACTCCGATAAGAGTTATTTGAGATCTTGCATCGTTGAATTTTTTTCACACTTTAACCACAGGAGTTATTTTAAGTCTACAAGTCTTTTTCCATCGCATCGTTTTTTCAGGATTCCCACGTGAAGAAATGCGTGGCAAATTAGCTATCGGAATTACAGCTAATTTTGTCAATAACAAGACGTACGCGGAGGAACGAGTGCCTGAGATAAGGTAAACGAGATTGTTTACAGATGTTGCATGTTGGTTTCGGAATTAGAGGTCGAGGGAAGGAATTTGCATACAAGTGAAGTCCAAAAATGAACAAATGTTAAGAAAATGAATTAACTTCAATAGTGTTGCGATTTTCTAATGTGCAACTATGAAGAAAATGTTGATCGAGGGTAGTGCTTGTGTTGCTTAGGGTTTTTATAGATATATTTATCCTAGTACTGCACGTACCAAATTTTTACATTTTATGAAATTAACTCTTTATTTCTGTTGATGAAGCGAAATTTTTTATATGTTAGTTCACTGAATTCTGAAAGTGTATATATCAGATTTTGCTTGTTTGATCTTGAACTCTTTCAGTGGGGTTGCCTACATATTCAATCAAGCATTCTTCAAAGAGATGTATGCAAAGACCGGCGTTGATCTCGAAAACATTGTGTACTATAAGGTATGTGTAAAAATACTATCCAAACCTAGCTTTTTTTCGGCTTCTTACCCATCATCGAAGTTATATTTTAGGATGACACGCACTACTTTGTCATGTGTGCTAAGAAACAAAGTCTTCTCGATATGGGAGTCATCCTTCAGGTACATGACGTACAATGCTTTTCTTGTTTTTGAGCTACTGACAAATTTCGAGGTAGAAGGGAAACAATAGGGTGGAGATAAGACATTACAACGAAATCAGTGATAACATATTATTGACAGTAAAAAGAGCGAGAATGCGAAGTCCACTGTCCGCATTGTTAAGACGATTGAGGGCATAAGATTACGGCCAGAGGTGTACATTAAGAATTTGTTTATGCTGCTATCGAAAGTTGATAATGGACTTAGTCAAGGTCAAGCAAAGCTTATGGCAGTACAAGGTTTTTTAGTGAATGTGTGACACGGACAAGACAACGAGAGAAGAGCGAGGGGGTAAAGAGAAAAGGGAAAGAGGGTGAAGATTTTAATAGGATGGAAAAGCCAAGACTCATCCCTTCTCCACTCCCCTTTTTCTCATTCACGTAGACAACTTTTTTTTGGCCTTTTTTTTT